ACCAATTCCTCAGTATTCTTCAGTTGTTACGTGGCTTTTTAAGTTGGGTCTATACTCTTGAGCATTATTACAAATGGAGACAGAACTTGGACATTGTATTAACCACTGCAATTTGGGCTTGTTCCTTCAAGCCTTCCACCTAAATTCCATCACTTGATATTGAAAGATGGGCATGAATAGTATCCATATGGACACAAGAAGAAACGCAGATTGACTATCACACTTTGGTTCGCTGAAAATTCTTCTCATATAAATTCTTTATGTGATACTTTCCAGCAGTAAAGAATAGTCCAAAGAATTACATAAGAACATAAGAATTAGGAGCAGGAGTAGGCCATTCGGCCCCTCGAGGCTGTCCCGCCATTCGATAAGATCATGGCTGATCTTCAGACCTATCTCTAATTACCCGCCCTATCCCCATATCCCCTAATCCCTCTGTTTTTTAAAAATCTATCAGTCTCAGCCTTGAAGATGTTCAAGGACTGAGCATCTACAGCCTTCTGGGGTAGTGAATTCCATAAATTCACTACCCTCTGAGTGAAGAAATGTTTCCTCAACTCTGTTCTAAAAGGCTGACCCTTAATTTTAAGACTGTGACCCCTGGTTATAGATTCTCCTACCAGGAGAAACAGACCCTCAGTAGCTACTTTATCCAGCCCTTTAAGAATCTTGTATGTTTCAATAAGATCTCCCCTAATTCTTATGTACTCTAGAGAATATAGCCCTAGTTTATTCAGCCTATCCTCATAGGTCAGTCCCCTCATCCCAGGAACTAACCTAGTGAATCTACGCTGCACCCCCTCTAGGGCAAGTATGTCCTTTTTTAAATAAGGAGACCAAAACTGCACACAATACTCTAGGTGCGGTCTCACCAAGGCCCTATACAGTTGCACCAAGACTTCCCTACTCTTGTACTCTAAACCTTTTGCAATGAATGCTAACATGCCGTTCGCCTTCTTAGTTGCTTGCTGCACCTGCAAACTAACTTTTTGAAACTGGTGTACAAGGACACCCAAATCCCTCTGCACACTAACACTATCTAATCTCTCCCCCTCTAGAAAATAATCTGGTTTTCTATTTTTTCTACCAAGGTGAATAACTTCACACTTCCCCACATTAAAATCCCTACTCCCTGTTTTCTACCCGTTAGCTACTCTTCAATCCATGCTAATATGTTCCCATTAATCCCATGGGCGTTAACCTTGTGCAATAGCCTTTTGTGTGGCACTTTGTCAAATGCCTTTTTAAAATCTAAATATACTACATCTACTGGTTCCCCCCTATCTAACCTGCAGATACATCTTCAAAAAACTCTAAAATATAGTTAAGCATGACTTCCCTTTTGTAAAGCCATGTTGTCTCTGCCTAATCTTGTTATGGTCTTCCAGGAATCGCATAACAACATCTTTAATTAAGAACTCAAGAATTTTCCCTACCACTGATGTCAGACTAACTGATCTATAGTTCCCCATCTTTTCTCTCCCACCCTTCTTAAATAGTGGTGTCACGTTTGCAATCTTCCAATCAATGGGAACCGTTCCAGAATCCAGAGAATTTTGGAAGATCAAAGACAAGCCATCCACTATCTCAGTAGCCACCTCTTTTAAAACCCTAGGATGTAGGCAATCAGGTCCAGGAGATTTATCAATTTTAAGACCTGATAATTTACCTAATTAGGCCATGTTTGTCGCTTTGAAAGTCATGAAACAGTTTCAATCTTTTAATGAAACAGGAGTTTATTGCCTTTTTAGTCTTAAAAATTGTCTTGTCATAATGGGCTAAGTGAAAGTTTAATGATTAGAAGAAGCCGGTTCCATGTAAGTGGAAGGCATTGCAGAAAAGTCAACCTGCTAAGTTTTAAATTGAAGTGCAATCATCCAATAAACGTTTTATACATTTTACTGACTTTATTGTGAGGTTCTTCAATATGTGCATGTCATTGCATACAGAATGACGCAGAGTAAAGGACAAACTGACCAGTGCTTGCTTCATTTACAACTGAGCATGGACATGACATCCTAAAATGGCTATGTTCAATGGTTCTGGCAGCAAGGTTGTTTGGGAGGTCATTTCCTCGTGTCGGTTGCTAGGCCTCAATAGGTAATTGAAGTGGCTTGAGAGAGTTGCGTTCTCATTAGCTCTTGAGGCTACAATGTTTCTCACCCTCTTAATGTTATTATACAATAATCCTGTAATTTCCCACCATACAACACGCTATGTTAAAAGCAAAATAAAACTCTATCTCTATTTATGCATCCAAACCAGAATTTCTACTCCCATGTGAGCTCTTGCTAGTGAGAATCATGAATCAAGCAAGCAGTGTAAACAGTCCATAAGCACACTACTTTGTTTACAGTGGGAATGTGCCAAAAGGCTTGACTTTTTCGGAAAAACGGCATAACACCCTAATGGGCAGAACCCATTCATAATTCCTGCATGCTCTGGGATAGAGTAACGTGTTTTTGGACATACTTTATCTCAACCTTAAACCTAGGTGCCAACGGCACAAAAATATGTTCTGGAAAGCCAAGATGCAGCACTTCTCTAAGTAATGGGAGGATATATTCTGCCTAACAGTATAAGACCATATTTCACACAGACTTCATAATAATAATAAAAATAATATTTGCATTTGATTTAGCACCTTATCACATTTTTGAGGCATCTGAAAGCACTTTACAGGATATACTGTAACGTGGTTTGACTATATTTTGTGGGCGAAACTCAGTTGAGGAAAGGTTTATTTCAGATTGTCTGTTCCGCTTAGAATCACAACAGGTACTACATTCAATTCTTAGGGTTACATAAATGCTATGTTATTGGTTATAGTGACCTAATTATGCATGATTCATCTGGATAGTTACAGGTTTTACAATAAGTGAATAATCAGTTTGCAGATAGGTGAATAATGAAATAAGTGAATTTAGTTATAGGACCAAATACTTGTATAATCTCTCTAGCACTGTGCTTTCTGATTTCCTCTATAATTACTGTGTTCAGATTATCTGAATATTAATGTTACCATTTTAAAAGTAATATCCATCCTGGTGAATAGGATTGTTATTCATTCAATTATTCATTTCTGATCACTTTATAATGCTGAAAATGAAGGGAAGTTGCATTAATATGTGTCTTTCAAGAACGTGCAGCATCAGAAAATATAATAAAAATGGTGTTTTGCTGTAATTGCAAGCGGAAATACATCAACATAATAATAATATAATAATCCTAGCATTTGGTTTAGTGCATTTTAGGTCCAGTGTTTGCCTCAAAGCACTGGATGGCTTATATTTTACTGAGAAGTAAAGCAATTGTGGCAGGCCAATTGCACATAGCAATGTCCCACAAATAGAGGTGAATGACCAATTTTATTTGGGGAATTGTTGGTCAGGACACCAGGAGAAACTCCCTTTGAATAGTGCCTGGGATCTTTAACGTCCACCTGAGTAGATGGGACCTTGTTTAATGTCTCATCTGAAGAACGACGTCACCAACAATACAATAGAACACATCCCCAGCACTGCATTGGAGTGACAGCTTAGATGTTGTGAGCTCAGGTCCCATCATGGAGCTAAATCCACAATTTCTAAATCAGAGGCAAGAGTGCTACCACCTGAGCCAGGCTGATACACCTGTGTCAGGCTGAGCCAGACTGATAATAGATAGGATTCAAAGATAAAAACAGAAGATTAATTCCAAAGTAATTGAATCATTCTTCACTTATTCTTAGCATTCTTCAACATTCTATTCAACATTGATTTGAACCAAAACGTGCAATAGACTAAAATGAATTAACTCACAGGAAAGGAAGAGGACTACCTGAATGGAAGGCTTAACAGGTGATGAGAAGCAGTCTTGATGTAATTTGGGAAATTTAAATTCATGTAGATCTGATTCTGGTCCATCATATAAAAGTAAAACAGTTTTCTGTAATTTTCTGATTTACAAGTGTTGGCCAAAGCTGTTACATCCAAGTCTTCAGGCAGCTAACTTAGTACAGTTCACTTGGCATTCTGCCCCTGTTCATGAATTTCAGTACGGTCATTAAAATTCATGGCTTGAGTAATGTCAGCCATTGGCATCTGCTTGGAAGTTTAAGAAGTGGTGTCAAAATTTACATAGAAATAGTGAGCAAAGAAGGAAGAGTGGACAATTGATCTCAAAAGATTTGATTGGGTAAAAGTATGTGATTTACATTATACATCAAGATTCTGTTTATAAAAGATATTATAAGATATGTTTTAAGAATATGCTTGTGTGAAGCAATGATGATGTGTATTGATGGGGACCTTTAGTGGCAGAATTCAACATTATTATTTGCGGTAACCTTTGCATTTGCATTTGTTATAGCGCCTTATCACATCGTTGATGCGTCACAAGGAGCTTCACAGAATATTTTGTAAAGTGAATTGTGTATTTTGTGGGCCTAAAACGCAGCAGCCAACTGCGCACAGCAGTGTCCCTACAATACTACAATAAATCGTGTACTGCTGAGTAATGGAACACAGTTTGATTAGCAGGATATTTACAAAATAATAAGTTCCCACGGGCAGAATAACAGAAAAACTGGGTTACGTTTTTTGCCCTCTTAGAGCAGTGCAGCATACATATAAGCTGTACGGATGGAGTGGTAAGCAATGGGTTCATAGTTACCACTTCCATATTGAGGAAATACTGTTCTTAGCCATGTCATCATCCTGAAGTGCCAAGCAGCAGTCGCGTCAAAGAGCAATATCAACAGAAATGTGAAGGTTACCCTCAGGCAACAGCGGGGTACACACTAATAAATAAAAATAAACCGATTACTAACAAAAGTACTTTCCCTGTAGCAAATCTGATTTTCTCTTAATAAGTTTCCACTGTTATTAATATCCATGGGCCTGACTTGGCCACGTTTAGGGTTAATATTAAACTCTATCGCTGTTCTTTCAGATTATTTAATTGCTAACTAAATATATGGAAAATATTGATGTGATCAGTGATGCATATGCATTTGACAGGCACCAATGCCAAACATGGGCTGCGTTGCAAGGCCTGCAAGATGAGCATCCATCACAAATGCATTGGCAGTATTGAGCAGCAGAGATGCGTGGGCAAACTGGTAAGCAACCAATTTGTTTAGTACAGGTACCAAAGCTCCACACAGTACGACTCACAACTAATCTGTTGATGACTGAAGGTACTTTGCTTCTTCTAAAATCTGCATTGAATTTCCTTCATGAATAATCTACAGAAATAGTTCCTGGAAATTCTGAGTGGTAAAAATTCTAAAGTAAAGCTAAATATTGTATGGCAATATGATTAATTCTTAAATTGCCAAATTTTCTGAATATATACAAGATATTCTCGATCCGCTCCCAAATGCACAATCTCCAGTCAGCTAATGAATCTACCACAGAATACTCACAGCTCCCTCCCGTTAACGTTGTCACTTAAGTGACCTAGCAATTGGGTCCAGGGATTTTTGAATCTCAGACTCAAGAGACCATTTTTTGATCTAAAGATTAAATATATTTTAATAGGTATAAATATTTCTACTATGGCACTACACAAAAATTACTCCACTTTGTCATTCTCTGACAAACTTGCTTAAGTAACTTTTAAAAGAATAGAGTAGTCTCAACTATATATGTGCTACAGATATATTACAGTAGAGCTGTTCCAAGCAAGATTCTTTAGATCAACAACACCACAGTGAAATTCTATTGCTTAACAGCAATGTGTTCATCAAAGGGACACTACAAGGGATGCCAAAGGAATATTGTTGAGCTTTCTGTAATGAAATGATTGGTTTCTGCATGTGTCAGACACCCAGGCTAACCAAAAAGAATTGAGCACCTTACCGTCAAAAAAAACATTGATTGACAATGTTATTGTCATCCTTTTCCTTCTTCGCTGCTGCAAGGGGACACTACTTATTTGTATGTACATTTACCATTTCTCATTCTAATCCACATCACTTTGCATTTAGTTACATTAAAATCACTCAAACACTTTTTGGCCAATCTGCTTAACTGGTCCAGTTCTTCTTGATTTCTACTTATCCTTCCCATTACCATTCACTTGGCAGCTTGCTGTCATTAGAAAATGCCATAATATTTAAGGAAGGATTCTGCTCCAAGACATTATGACTAATGTGAACAACAGGGGACTGACAACTGACATCTATGGAGCTCTGTTAGTTACAGTATTCTCCTCAAACAGAGCATTTTCCATTAATCATCATGTTGGGCTTTACAGTTTTTAAGCCAATTTTTAGTTATGCTTTAGAAAATGATTTCCTTGTTATTTCAACTTAGCGTATTTCAACTATATACTACTGGGAGTAAGCATGTCAACGCTTGTTATGAACGTACTTAGTTATAAATACTTTCATCTATTCTGGCTGCTTTGAAATTTAAATTTTGTAAATTGGTAAGGTTTCATTCATTAAATACTAGTGTTATGAGGATTGTAAAATGAAATACATTCATGCAGCTTAATGTGAGCATTCTGATTTGTTCTGCTCCATCAGTCAGAGCTCAAAAGACAAAACTATTGTATTCATGCTAAGAGGTCACTAGTCTGTTATACTGAATACATTTTAGCTTTTTTAGGAAGTCTTCCCCAAATTTGCCTACACACCAGGAATTAAGGAGAATGATGACTAAACAATATGCAATTAGATAAGTCAATAGAATGCATTTTACATCGTCACCATCTCGCCGGTAAGAAAACCTCTGCAAAGGTTAAAGTCTGTTCTAATCACTGTACCCTGGGCTGCACTCAGTCAAGCTCTTTGGAAAGCAGCTGCATAGTGATGACAAGGCGTAAACCACACATTACTTGACCAGCCACTAAAAGTAAGTGGAGAACTCGCCACCGTGATGCTGTTCTCCGATGACATGAAGAGGACAGTGATTGTGGTACTCGTCATTCGTCGAGTCACTGAGATGGAGTTCATGATGATACAGCAGGAGAAGTGCTACACAAAAAACTCTGCTTCCAAAATGCTTTCACTCAACAGTATAAAATGAAGGGCAATAAAAGAGCAACATAGATAATATAGATGTCTTCCTTTATACCATTTAGGAACGTCAGGAACAGTATTGGGCTATATGTCCCCTTTAAATTAGCATTACAAACTCCTGTCATTCAGCTTTATTCTTTTTATTATTATTAATTTTGAAATTCTATAAATATCATTATTTTAGTCTATTATAGATAGTATTATTGATTTAACAATAGCTACTTACCTTTGGCCTGATACTGTTGTAGCCTCTCCCTTTATTGGTTAGTGAGCCGCTGATGTCCCATTGCTCTACGATGCTCTCAGCACCCAATCCTGGACAACTCAGAAAAATCCACACTCACGGGACATTGAGGCAAAGTGTGTGAGCAGAAAGTTTAATGCCATACTAAGCCTAAATTTCAAAACGGAAGTATTTTGAGTGAAGTGAGGTGGATTTTCTGGTCCACTTAACAAATGTATAGTTTTGAGAATTATTTTATTTTTCAGTGAGTATCAAAATCTACTTCACCATCACAATGAGCCTCCCACTGGAAAGTCATTCAAACCACACTAAATTTCAACAGTTTTGGAAAACTGACAAATATTTGCTTTAATGCTGTGGTATTTATTAAATGTTACCCTCAATTCTGGTTCAGTCATGAGTTTCATGTTATTGAAACTCACAAACCTTGGCAGATAGGTTCTTGAAATCGCACGGAACAGTTGTATTTTACTTAAAAAACAGAAGAAAAATACTGGATCATTGAATAAACACCAAGCACTTTATTTCTATGCAACAAAGTAATGCACAAGTTTACACACTGCAGATTAGGCTGTTAGCTTTATCTCCAGGATTATGGTGAATTCTTAGCACTGCTATTCGATTATTGTTCCTAAAAATGAATGCACTGCAATTTTGTACAAATAATGATGCTTACTTCAGGGTTTACCAGTACAAATCACTGGTAAGTGAGTCTTCCTGAGATACCACTGACAATTATTAGTTGCTGATCTATAGTACTTGTCCTGCTCTTCATTAGGGCTTTGTCTTATCTCTAAAACTCATTATTAAGGTAGAGAAGCTGGTCAATTATCAACAAAGCCTTGGGTACTCCGTACCTGCCTGGTTTCAGACAAGCATGACTTTGCAACTCCAGTTTATTCTTGGGAATTTACCTCACTCTCCAGAGGATTTCATTTTTTAAATTATGGATTTATTCGTACTTATCATTGGAAGTAAACGGAGAAAAGCAGTAGGACTGAAGTTTCAAAAAGCTGCTCGCTTCCTTAGCTTTTCCTAAAAGAACAAATGCATGACTAAAGGACTGGAACATATTCCTAGTCAATTCTCAGTTGTCAGTGTCCAGTTGTATTGATCAACAGTTTGACGTATTTTTCCCTCTTAATAGCCGAAGGGATTTCGACGCTACTACAGCTCTCCGCTTTTAATACATGAACAGTATGGGTGCATCAAGGAAGTCATGCCTATTGGTAAGTATTGATTTGTTTCTTGCTTCCAGCCCAAATGAGTGTTGTGTCTCATTTGCTGCCAGCTCCCGCAGCTCATGTATCTCTTTCTGTTTATTTCCTAAGCTTGCCGAAGTAAAGTTGACCCAGTGTATGAAGCACTCCGGTTTGGGACATCCCTGGCTCAACGAACCAAGAAGTCTGGTTCAGGCAGTGGATCTGAGTCACCTCAGCATAACTCTGTAAATAATGCTTTTGTCTGCAAATCTCTTCTTGAACCCAACCAACAAATTCCCTATTTCATGTTTTGTTTAGGCTAGAAAGAGTCAGATCAGCATGCCGCTCTTACATTTGATATTTATTTCTGTTAATTAAAAAGTTGTCGCAGCTGGAAATAGATCTTCATTGGTATACAAACTTGTAGTTATTTGCTCAGTCAATTTAAGTCACTGGATCATTTTGCGATTCACCATTTTAAAATAAATATACTTTTAGCTCCTGAACGTTTCTGTTAATAAATGTACATGGGGTCATTTTGTAGTGGCAATTCTCTAAAACTTCAGAAGGGTAGTTGAGCTGTGGAATGGTAATATCAAAGTAATAGATCTGAAGATATTAATCACACTTTATGACAGCATTGTTTTCTAATCTAATTCCATCTTCGAAACTTTGTTTTGGGTTGTGTGTTAAAACAGAAGGTTTTTATTCTGAAGACAAGGAATTGAAGAATCTTTGACAAAATAATAATAATAGTTAAAATATTTCTTAATTACGATATAGCACCTTTCACGTCAGGGGGATGTCACAAAGTATAAACTGTAAAGTGGAGTGACTGTGTATTTTGTGGGTGAACAGGGTGGCCAATTTGAGCGCAGCAATGTCTCACATGCAGCCATGAAGTAAATGGGCTATTTTACCTGTGTCACTAGTGCAAATAAAATTGTTAAAGAAAATTCAGACCCCATTAGAAAGCACCCATTTGAATGTGAGACCACAGGTCTCCAGAGGTACACACTGCATTACACCCAACTTCCAGCCAGTGGGCAGGAAGCACCACTAACAACAGTTCCTGCACACTGGTCATGGAACTAGTTGCAGGAAGCACCATTGATATCACACTGTTAGAAGTTAGAAAGTTAGAAACTCGGAAACAGAGAGAAAAAAACAGGGAGCGAGAGAAAAACATGGAGTAAATGAGAGAAAAGTCAGAGAAAGAGAGAAAAAGTTTCAGAGAGGGAAGAGCTGGTACAATATGGCACTACAGTGACATTATAATTCCTGAAGGAACAATTGTTCAGTTTTTTAGCACGAAAGTCAATTTATGTTTTGCTTGCTGTCCAGTTTGCTTCTCCTTGAAGGGACCAGTCCAGATTAGTGCAGACAATTATCCCTATATTGTGTTTTAGAACTAGTTGAAATGAAAACATTGAAAATTTTCACTGATTACCAAATAACAGCATACAGAAAACCAAGTTAATCCCAGGTTTGCTTTCCACTTCCTGCTGTTATACTTTAGGCTTCTGATCTTGCTGAAGTTCCAGAGAAGGTGCTGATGGTCCATTTGGACTGTTGAGTTTAAGCAGAAAGCTCAGTGATAGCGGTAAGCATGAAATGCAAACCTTTCTCTCAATTATTCATACAGCAAAGCACCTACAGAAGTGGTGTTAAAATGTAGTTTCAATATTTACTGCTTCACAGTGTGCTTCTGCTCTTATGTTATAATGTTTTGCTATTTTAAGTAACATTTAAATCACACAGGTAGCTCAACTTGATCTATAAAATACGTCAATACTATTCTTTGTAGTTAATCAATTATTTGACTTACATTATTGGCATGTTGAATATTTTGCTTTTAAAAATTATAGTGATTAACTGAACGCAATGCAAAGTCTTTTTTTCTCTAATTAAAAAGAGAAAGAGTGCAACAATATTACACTCAGCACTGAAGTGAAACAAGTAATCTGCAATGGAAATGTGTCTTAGTCTTAGTTTTCAGAAACAGTTCATGTTTTTCTTCTCTGTAGTATTTGGGTCAGTGGAAAATGGGTTGGAAAACATATGCAACGAAGAAAAAAAAGCTCTCCATTCCCCGGTAAGATGTAAATCTTTGCGCTTTGTTTTTATTTATCTCTTATAATAGACAATAATAATAATCCTTGCATTTGATATGGCACCTTTCATGTTGGAAGGACATCTCAAAGTGCTTCACAGGATTTACTGTGAAGTGGAGTCACTGTATTTGTAGGCAAACACATCTACCCAATTGCGCACAGCAATGTCCTACAAACAGCAATTAAGCAAATCATCAAATTCATCTGGAAGATTGCTGGTCAGTATATCAGGAGAAACTCCCTACTGTTTTCAAATAGTGCCATGGAACCTAAACTGGCAGACAGGACCTCAGTTTAACACCCAATCCGAAGCATGGCGGAGCCGGGCGATGTTGCGGAGGTTGGGAAAGGCAGAGCAGGTCATGGCACAAATGTGGGATAGGAAGGATAGTTGAGGGTGATTTCCACTCTGGAAAGTGAGCTTGATCTCCTGGCTGTTCTTGCTGGTAATGCACCAGAAGAAGTACCGTCTGACAACTACTCTACCTCAAGTAACCCCGCCACAGAAGCTTCGATCCCACCACTGAGTGACAGCGATGGGGCTACACACACTGCCGAACCCACCCCTTTGTCAGCTGGCACTTCTGCAGGACAACCCAGTCCAATCGAGGTCATCGAGACACCCACTAATAGTGCATCTGTTTTCCCAGTCTCCAGTGCCACAGACCCAGCACATCTTAGCTCTGTTCTCGATGATAGAGATTTCTAGTGATCCTTCTGTACAGACTACTATTTCACAGGCCCTGGAAGATCACATGACCCAGATCAGAAAGAGAAGAGCTGCTCCACAAATGGCACAAGTATCCCAGGCAGAGAGGATGGCAAAGCGGAGTCAACTGGATCTCCAAGCTGCTATACCTGGAGACAATATGGCTGTCCCCATCCCACCAGCGGACAGGGGTAGAGGGGATCGCAGGAACATCCTTGGTGTTATCATTAATAGAAATTTAGACACTGACCAGTGCAAGAGCAATCACCAATTTGACCTCTGCCCACAACGATTGTTAACAGAGTCCTGTGTCAACCCGGAGAAGTCAGTGTCACTCCGTGAAGCTGTCATTGCACAGTCTGTTTGTGGTGGACAAAACTTTACGAAGTGTAACTGAGGTCAGAAGAAATGTCAGACCAACCGTTGTAAATGCTTCAAAGCAAATTTCAGGGATTTCGCAAAATCCTTGGTTAAAATAATTTCAGGGATTTCATGGAATCACACCATATACACACAGACAGTATTTAATCTTCCATAATTTATTTATTTTGAACAAAAAAAAAGGACAACCATAGCTGCAATAAAATTGAGACTTTTCAAACTAAATTTTTTTCAGTAAAAGGCTAATGATTAGTACAGGTGATGGAAGAAGGAACTATATAAAAGGTTGCAGAAAGAAACTAGACATGTCCTGTGAATTAAAAGTAGTCCATGTTATAATTAGATAAATGTGTCAAAGGAATCTTTGGGGAAGTTTTGGGTGGGTAAAGCTAGATAGACCAATGGCCCACTTCTGCCTAAAACTGAGTTAATGTTATTATGTTACAAAAGACATGGCCAAAAGATCAATAATAATCATAAAATAGTAACAAAAACACAACAATATTTTAATGATCCCCAAGTGAATTAATAATCCTACACTGTTGTAGGATTATTTCATATGGGCCTACAATGTTGAATTATTCAGTTAATTGTATCAAATGTAATGACTGTACTGTATTTGTAGGCCCCAATAATGAGGAAGCTATTTTGAGTAAAGTGTAGTGAACTAGAGATGTACCCTTTAGAATGTAGTGCTTTGGCTCCATAAAATCAAACTTTATACAATAAAGATAATACTGTAGAGCAGAGACTCATCAGTGCTTTTTGTCATCAGATTGCTGATGATGTCACCTAACTGAATAGCACATTTCCGCAGCACACACAAAGCAGACCGGTCAGCCACGACCACTCTCGCTATTTCCAGGGATTGCTGAGATGCTACTGATGTCCAGAATGCTGGCCTGGCAGGACTGCAAGTAGGACATATATTACACTTTGGGTATTCTGCTGGTGCATGGCCACCTGCATTATATATGAATCATGGACTTCTGTAGCTCAGTGGTTAGAGGACTCACCTCTCAAGTGAGAGATTTGGGTTCGATTCCAGCCAGGGCGAAATTTGGGGCAAGCTTCCCCACTCCACACACCTCTGTTTACCTAGCAGTGAGTAGGAAACCAGTTGTTAGTTGATTGGTGAATCGCTTTTCCAGGGTAATAATTGCTTCTAAAAAATGAAAAAATGTAAAAAATAATAAATTGGTCACTTCAATCCATGATTGTTTGTGGGACACTGTTATGTGCATTCAATTCATTCTACAATATATTCTGTGAAGCGCTTTGAGACGTCTCGAAGACATGATAAAGTTCTATATCAAATGAAAGGATTATTATAATATACCAAAGTGTGGGATAACGATGTCCAACTGTAGGTGGTCCAGACTAGATAATCTCTTCTTGCAGTTTTTTTATATATGTTTTATTTTCTTACAGCTGAAAGGATTAGAACATAAAGATACATTACAGCTCTACAGCTATGTAGCCTTGTATAAGTTTGTACCACAAGAAAATGAAGATCTGGAAATGCAGTAAGTAGAACTTCTAAAAGAATTTAAGCATGTAAAATAATTTTACCATCTTGTTTCCCTCTCTTCCTTCCTCAACTCATCCAGCAAAATATGTGAAGTAGGAATCTTGCAATTTATCCACTACTTGAGAAATGATTAAAGGGAGTTGTGGTGTAAATCAGTGTAAACTGATTTCAGTGTCTGTGTTAGAAACTATGCCCTTTCAAATCACTCATTTAAGCCTTTGTCTGGGTTCAGCAATACTATTTGCACTGCATTAATTTGCTGCTTTGAATTATTCAATGTACCGTAGATTAAGAAGGTGTGCATCTATTACAGCCCTGTAGATATACTTTGAAATTAAACCATAAATTTATGTAATTACTCAATTGTCTAATAGTATGAGTAATCAGGCAAGTTAGGTCCTGAGGTCCTGAAGGGCCTTTCACAATCTTATTTCATTTTATGATTTTGCTCCTTGAGTTATCAAAGTAAAAGCAAGAAAGAGATGAGCGGACGTATCATAAAGTGTAAAGATGCTGCTCGATAGAAACGAACAAAAGATCAAGAAGAGTTTTGTTTCCTTTATCTTTCTGAATTTATTTTTGTCAAAGTCTTTCTTTCTCTGTGTCTGACATTCAACAGAATGAAGTGAGATTGATGTTTATGTCGCATTAGATGGGTTTCATAATTCATTTAATCTAACTATTCTGCATCTACTCCCTGCAAATGGGATACACACTCAAAAAAAAGCTCAGTCTTATGAACTGTGTTTATCTTTGCCATCAGAAGGCTGCCTTCAACAAATCTCATAAACATACTGATGCAAAATTCTGGGAAGGCATTCAATGGAACAGAATGGAAAATTGGATGTGCTCATGATTCCCAACATATGGGCAGAAATTCCTTATTAGGGTCCTACTAGGTTTCCATTTCCTCTATTTTAGAGCATCCAGAATTTGGCAAATTGTTGAATTCAGTCTTAACATAAAAGAACTTATTAAAAAGAAGCTACAAAAATTAAGGCTATATTTAAGTATTTGCAAAATTCTAGATGCTCTGAAATATTAAGAAAATAGAGCAACTTTAGACCCAGTTCTAAATGCCCTACTGAGATCGATGTTTGAGGCAGAATCCATATTAGCTTTTAAAGGGGAACTAAGTAGATATTTTAAAAGGCGAAAACCTCATGGTTATGGGGAAATTGGACTGAAAAGATTGCTCTTTAAAAGAGCCAGCATTGACACTTTAGGCTGAATGGCCTACACCTGTGGAATCTCCCAATGATGAGTTGGTAATGCTGAACAGGAGATGAAATCACGTGATACAGTATATCAAATCACTCTGTGGACTTCATGTTGGTCAGTTATCAAGTGGCATTGGCAGATACCTGAGAGCAAGTCAAATGACAACTTTCTCCCTGTCCTCTGGTACTGTTCCCACCCCTTTAAAAACCGCTGTCATCACTCCTATCTTTAAAAANCCCTCCCTGGACCCTCCTCTACTCCCTAACTACCACCCCATCTCCAACCTCCCCTTCCTCTCCAAGGTCCTGGAATGAGTTGTTGCTTCTCAGCTTCGCTCCTTCCTCTCCCACCATTCCCTTCTCGAACCCCTTCAATCGGGCTTCCATGCCACCCACAGCACAGAAACAGCCCTGGTCAAAGTGACAAATGACATTCTGTCCATCTGCGATCAGGGCTCCCTTTGCCTCTTCGTCCTTCTTGACCTCTCTGCTGCTTTTGACAGCGTAGACCACTCTATCCTCATCCACTGCCCCTCCTCTCACATCAACCACCACGGCGCTGTCCTTCATTGGTTCAGATTGTACCTCTCACACCGCCTGCACTTCATCTCCTCAAATAGCTTCTCTTCTAGCTCCGGACCGTCTCGTGCACCGTTCCTCAGGGCTCTGTCCTTGGTCCCCTCCTCTTCAATATCTATATGCACCCTCTTGGTGACATCATCCACAGACATGGGGTCAACTTCCACACGTATGCGGATGATACCCAACTCTACCTCTCTGCCTCCACCCTTGACACCAGGAGCACTGTTGTGCTGACAGAATGTCTGTCAGACATCAAGTGCTGGATGAGAGCTAACTTTCTTCAGTTGAACGTCAACAAGACTGAGGCTGTCCTGATTGGCTCCCGTCAGCACCTCCACACCTCAGGCGCTGACAGTATCACCATCCATGGTTGCACACTCTACCCCACTAAGCCAGTCCGGAACCTTAAGGTCTTGTTTGACCCTCAACTATCCTTTCTACCCCACATCTGCACCATGAGCCGCTCTGCCTTCCCCCACCTCCGCAACGTCGTCCGGCTCCAACACTGTCTCACACAGCAGGCCGCCGAAACCCTCATACACGCATTCATTACGTCGAGGCTCCGCTTCGCTTCCTCCGCTCAGCGGGCTCCTGCCTGCTTCACGACCCCCGCCTTGCTCGCCCCACTATTGGCAGGCGGGCCTTCCGCCACTCTGCACCCACCCTCTGGAACTCCATCCCACAGTCCCTCCTCTCCCTCTTCCTCATCACCTTCAAGACCCACCTCAAGACCCTCCTCTCCGACTGTGCTTTTGATCTCCCTGCCTCCTGCCCTACCCTCCCCCCTGCCCCACCCCGACCCTCAGCTCGGCTCCGTAACTCTGTCCAGCACCTTGGGACGTCCTCTTGACATGAAAGGCGCTATATAAATGTAATTTTGTTGTTGTTGTTTCCATTAAGGATTGTTGAATTATATGGAGCCACCACATAAGGAAAGAGAGAACATAATAAAATGTCTTAGCACTTTATTTTAAAAATAAACACTCATCAATTAAATTTAAAAGACAGTATCCACATATTCAAAATAAGAATAGTTTGTAAAAGAACAAATATGGAAAGTTTCAAAGCATAGCAATTTAATAATAATAATCCTTGAATTTAATACCTTACCACCTTGAGATGTCTCAAAACGCTTCACAGAATATACTGTAAAGTAAATTTAATTGTATATTTTGTGGGCATAAAATTATTTTGTGACTATTTTTTGTGACACAATGAACTGAAAATAATTTAACGAGAAGAGGTCATTAAGAGGGTTTTGAATATTAGACAGGATCAGAAGTGCAGAGGGTACAAGGAAAAAGAATAGAACTGGAGATGGTTGTACTTTCAGGGTTAGGTAACATCATGATGGGAATTGAAGGTCAAGGTGAGGATTATAAAGTGCATCCCCTTGGTTCTTGGAGCTAGTTGAGCTTGGAAAGAATATGGCTAATGGCCTTGTGGAGCCTGGTGTGGGAGACTATATCAGCTGCCGAGTCCTTTATGAGTTGGAGCCTTGTGTAAGGCATATGAACTGGGAGACCTGGAAGAAATTGGGAGAGATGATGGATACTAGATGCTATCTCACAGGATTTCAGAATTAAATGACAGTTCAGTTCATTGGACAGTCTGGAACAATGACAGTATTACTCTGAACAATAAACGTTGTCCATTGGGGACTCGGTTCCTACCTATTGCCATATATTAGATGGCTTGAGAATCTCGTGGAAAGAGAAGAAAATCTCAAAGTTTAGAGTTCTGTTTGCTTTATTTAACCTTTTTATTTTTTTCTTATTATCCTCAGTTTTAGTTAACAATGCTTGAATTACAATGATGAAACAGTGAAAACATAGGGTGGATATGGAACTAAGTAACATAGATATTTTCTATGAGCACAGGAGATAATCAGATCATCAAGTCTGTTTCAGTGCTACATCTGTGTTTTCTGAATCGCTAAATCGCCCTTTTTTTAAAAAACACTAATCCTACATTCCATCTGTTTTTCCACATCCCTTGATTGTTTACCCAATTCCACTTTGAATGGATAACAATCTGTTGACAGCATATTCTGGGAACTAGATTGCTTCAGAGCAGAGGTCTCTTGAATGGTCAAAAATGCCTCAACTTACAATCCATCTCATACATCGAATTGTATATCCTGAGGCATTTTTTCTGGTCATTTTTTTTGTGCCATTTTCATGTTGTTGTTTCGGTTTTCACGTTTGAATGTTTTTTCTAACTCCATTAGGATAAAGAGTAAAAATACATGTCAACAAAGAGGCTGCTGAAAAAAGCTGTCAGGAAGTGGTTAATAAGATTATTTGTACAAAGAGCTGATGGGTCATGAACTGATTGGAATACTCTGAAGTGCAATGCAAGGAAAGACACAACAACAGCTGTGAGAATCGGATGGAATGAATATTTCAGTAAAAAAAAGCACAAGTGTACTTTACAAGTATAAAATAGCGACATGGGATCTAAACGAGAATTTAGGAGGAACTATTTCATGCTGAGTGTAGTGAGATTGTGGAACTCGCTGCCTGAAGTGGTAGTTGAATCAGAAAGCGTAGATCGGCTAAAGACCTTTCTTTTCGACCTCGCCTTTGGTCACCTTCTCCTGGCTCAGCCCCGGAATCCATTATTATGAAGCGCTCTGAGATGCTGTCCGGCGTGGAGGGCGCGATATAAATCCAAGTTGTTGTTGTTGTGTAGTTGGATTCATGAGGAACCTGGATTTTCACAGCAGCGAAAGGAGAATAGAAGGCTATGGGAGGGAGTAGGGAATGGGTAGAGACTCATTAGAGATATAAACACAATACAGACTTTTTGGGCCAAGAGGCCTGTTTCCTTCTTGTACATTCTTGTAAATAATAATCGTTGCACTTGATATAACACCTTATCATGTCAAAACATGTCAAAATGCTTCACAGAGCTTTCTGCAAAATGGAGTTACTATGTATTTATAGGCAAATGCTACAACAGTTGCATTTATAATAGAACCCTTCAAGTAACATCAGGGTAACATCTTGGAGCACTGTACAAAGGTGGAGTCAAACGCTGAGCAAGTGAGAGAGAAAGGAAGAGATGGCCATAGGTGCAGTTCAAGAGATAGGTTTTAAAGCAGCACTTGAAAATAGATAGAGAGGGGGTGAGACAGAAGAAGTTGTAGAGCTTAGGGCACTGTCTCACAAACAACCATGAAGTGAATGAC